CATAACCTTTCAGCCGACCGCTCGACAAAATCAGCGATAACTTTGTCTCCATTGCTTGAGTTAACGAGTACGGCAAAGGTTGTCCAGTTAACGATGTGCATCAAGCGGTAGGCTAAAAGCGCGTCTGTTTCAGTTGGGTAGCCATTAGTCGTCTTCAGAATAGCAAGCAACGCACTAAGCGGTGACCACTAACCGGGAAACCCTGGCTAATGGACACACGGGTCGATGGAATTCCGAGAATAAATATTATGCTAATGGTAGTGTTCTCCCTGGTTGGAGCAGCTACATGTTGTGCCTAGCCTTCCAAAGTTGAGACATGCTAATAGACCTGCAAATATCGTTGTTGCAGCAGGTGAGAACCAGTTTAACCCTGTAAGATTGTAGTCTCCCATGACTATTTGGTATCCACTCGAAAGCTTCGATGCCTGCGCAAAAGTAACCATAAGTGGGTTATCACTCCCATTTGAGGTATCGGGTGGATTATGAACACCCTCAAACAGCTCTATCGATGCCCGGATATCAGCTGTCAGCATACTGAGGCTATCGCCTCACCTGCCTCCATGGTATCAAAAATGTTGCTGGGTAAGTCATTTCCCTATGCATGGCGCTTTTGACTCTCGCTTATGCACACGTGATTGCTTAAACAGCTCATAGTCAGGAAGTGGGTACGACTGTTCTGTAGCATAAGGGAAAGGCCATGTTTCCCTAGCAACTATTGCTTCAGGGTAGGCAAGGACGAACAGAAGACGCAGAATGTGCAAATTATTGTTTAAAGAACTAGAATTCATAAGTAGGTGTGAGATGGTTCACCTGGAGTCCACTAACTTGACGGATGACGCATGGAAGCCGTTACCGGAGAATTCGATACCTGCAGAGGTAGCCCGAAGTGGGTGAGGAGACACTGCAGTGGGCAATTAAGCTATGTTTGGCTTGGTGCCGGGATGAACTTGTCGTGGCACATCCCCACCTGGTCTAAGAAATGGGCAGGTTGCGGTATTGGAGGCAATGCATTAATTGCCCTAGGTAGCTGAAATTTCGGCGTAAGTCTGAGGGATGTAGCCGGTGCGCAGCAGCCTGGATGTGCGTAAAGTTGGACGTAATCGTGTAGGTGGCCAAGTGCAGTGCGCGCCATAGGTGAATTTTTGCATAGGCAGTACGCGGGGCCGTTTCAATAATCTTCGGGGGTGATGCGGCGGAATCCGTCTCGGTGGACAGAAATACAGCTGCCTTTTCTTGATATCATTTCGGAGTTGTTAACCATTCGATATTACAGTGCGCAAGTCTCTATTACCTGCTGTTATCAGTTTGATTTGGTCTTGGAATTTTTGATTCTTTGAGCCAGCGTATGAAATTGTAACGCTTTCCACAAGCATGGTAATTGCAAACATTGTGCCCTTAACCTAGGCCGTCGAAATACCAGCCGGAAAATTAAACACAAGTGCGCTGAAGTCCAGATTTATCCAACCAAATTGCATATTCTTATAAGGAATCGGGCAACCCAGTGTTTCTTTCAGACGCGACACCTTGCTACACAGTAAGGTAGTAACTTAGTTTCACAGGCTCCGGAGTTTAGCCATAGCACGCTTTCCCACATTCAGTCTTCTCGGAGCTTCCATTTTGTCTTTCGTAACGGCCTTGCAAAACCGTTCTTGCTGTTACACTCTTCAAGGCAACGAACGTCATGTGGTTTCTACTTCTGCTTTGATAATCGAGAAAGTTGGAATCCCAGCTCTCATGTTCGAACATGACTAAAAGGTAGCGTGGGTTTTTCGAAACCCTTTTACTCAGCCTTGTGCGACGCAGTAGGTTCGGTTTCAAGCCGCACGCTTGCATCAGTATTTTGCTAATGGTGTGCAACTTCAGCCGGCTGCGGACATTATACACCACTATCCGATTAAGTATTTGTCGATTCAGCACCTTAATGCAACTCCTGTTAGGAAACCTCCCAGCCACCTCTGCAGGCTTACACGCCACAAAGTCCTCGAAGGTGAATCCAAGTCACTGTGCATGCCACTCTGCCAGTAAGTGGTTTTAATATATTCAAAACCTTCTGCTCTTTACTACGTCAGTTGAAAGCTCGGCTATTTAGGATCTCAGGGAAACCATGTCAGTTAGGTTAACGGAACAGGGTATAGTTTACCAGGTGTGTTCGTGCCGATAGTTTTAGCTTTGGCCTGAGTACACAACGGGTCGCCCACCTGTTTTGGTGAAGCTGTGACGGTGTTCACAGACCACGCCTAAAGACCACGGGTGCTAGAAAAGAATTGCTAAGGGCAACAAAAAGGTAAGTTGACGATAACGTGTAGGTGAATATCGTGATCTAAGTAGCTGTAACGACAACTATCGCCGTTTAAAGTCTGCGCAAATTAAGGGCAAATAAAAACGGACCTGGTTACCGTGTGCAGCCAAAGTTCGAATCCGATAGGTAAATTGTGAATTCATTCCGCTTATGGTCTATTATGATTATAAAAATAATAACTACCTAAACAAACGTTTTATTCGCGGCAATGCAAACCACGTCTTTACAGGCATGATCATGTTATGATAACAAATTGCGAACAAAAATATACAACAATGCAACCCTTTTGCCACACCAGTGAATGTATGCATAAGGGTAACTGTGCATATGTCTAGCATCGTAGGTTGTGTTTGTGAGTGAGCCGTTGTATTTTTGACTGTTCGACAGCTTCAGCTAGGTAAAAATAGACGACCGATGTCCGTGCATTGGAGGTACTTATCCAGGTATCCACTGGGCGATTACCTTTCGTGGGGCGTCACTTTTGCTACGTCATGGTATTGCTAAACGGACAGTTGTTGCTAGTTATGGGAGAAAGCTTCCCAAGCGAAAGCCCACCACGTACTGGTACACTGCTTCCGAACTACTTGCTGGAACGGGTCACATCCGAACCACCCAACGGGCACCAAAAGGAGATTGCTCGGCTGGCCAGCCAGTAAGTTCGTTGAAGATCAGTCTACGTCCCATGCGCAATAAGAGTCATGAATGGATGGATGGAAACACCTGCATTAGCGTAAGAAACAGGCTGTGGGTATTATAGCACTTATTATTAAACACTAACCTGACTCTTTGTCACCCCGCAGAGCTGAGTGTCTACAGATATTTCTAATCCGGAACTACATAACCCAAGTGGTGTGCTTACCGGGAGAAGCTTCTAGAAGTGAGGTTTATGGATTGAGTGGCACTCCACTGAAGACTGACCTCAATGCTTACACACTGAAGGTTATAGGCATTGAACATGGGGTTCTGAAATTTTTCAGCGTAGGGAGCGTGGTGGCACAAAGACGCGCAAAGCACCAATGACTGGTATTGCGTGCTTGCTTCTCAATAACTTGTGGATGAGCCTGCACCTCGCACTGGTTATTGGGAACGTCTAACTTCCAGTTCTACAATATCCAACTGTGATTCCGAAATAAATCCGCTGACCAGCAAAGACCTATCCAATTACTTGTATGTGTAGATCGCATCTAAACTGTCACTGAAAGAGCAATTAATCCCCGCTTTATGCCCAACTTTTACGCAATTACTGGTTTGTACTGCGTTTGTTCATTGCTGAAGCTATCGCCGATTAACCCGTGGCTGCCTCGAGTGTGTGCATCATTTGTGTAAACTGCCCGTAGCTGTTGTGAAGCCTATGTACAATAGAAGAACTCGCAAACGCCCCGATAAGTGCCGACTTAGTTGCTTCTCATCGACCGCTTGCATTTTCGCATTAAGCGTTTGGAAGTCAAATCCTATTGATACCTGGCTTCTGAAGGGACGCCCTTAACTTCCCAATCAGCCTGTTACTTGCAAATAGGAAAACACATCAATGGACGCCGGAATTCTCCTTGACATTGCTTAGGATGTTTCCAGGAATACATTTATCAGCGTCCCAAACAATTCGATCATTATGTCGCTTCGACTAATGGGCATAGCCAGCAAGTGTCCTGCCTCAAATACTAACATCCAGGAAGTTCGTACTTTACCCATGGAAATAATGAGATGGGCTCCGGGTCTGAATACTTTACCGCTGAGTTCCACAGGGTTCGTTCATAGTATTAAAAAGTTAGGTAAGGTGCGGCCGTTGGCATCCATTTATGATAAAGCACAAAGGACGTTATATTTATCACCCAGGTCGTCTGTTAAGGTGCGTCCGCCTAAGAAGCACAACAGGTGCTAGATTATTTAAGTGTGGGCTTTTCTACAATTCGGCACAAAACAATCGATGCTTTTCTGCTAAAGGATGAGGCGTTTGAGAATGAAATGGGTACAGTAGTATTCCCGGACTAGAAAACAACACAAACGGCGTTGCAGGAGATCGTCCATAACAACAGGGTAACCTGTAGCACGACGCTCGTTCTCTAATATAGTTGTTGCGCTTTCCAGTTTACTGATTTCCTCACACATTCATCAGATAACGGGTGTGGTGTAATGTTATGTATATATTCGCTGGCTAAGTTTGCGGGTTGTTTGAGCGAACAGGTTCAGGAACGGGAAGATAGTCCGTGTCCAGTCTGCCAAAGTGATCTAAGTATATGGTTTTAGCGAATTTAACCTTCTCTGTGGACCATTAACGTCGCTGTAGTGTTCAGCTTTTCACTAGACGCACTGTTATGGGGATAGGGGAAGCAGCTAAGGCAGCTATTTGTGCTCAACGTAGCTTGCTCGATATAATGTCTTAATTATCATCCACTAGGATCAAGTAGGTTTTTTGTTCCCTTTGATGTCAAGCTAGCAACCCGGGTCTTGAGTGCAAGTATTCATCTCATCTAACACGTCATTAATATGCTGGCAAGGAAATGTTTTAAACAGTAGTTAGGGAACCAGATAGCGAGCCCACCTGCATCCCACAGTTGATTCTGCAGCTGTAGCAATTCTATAAGGTATACAGTTTGGCAATGCTGCTCATCGACTGGCAAGCAAGCTAAATGATAATCCTGAAGATCACTTGGAGAAAGGCGACTAGCTTGCGCCATTTAACAATCCCATACAGCCACTGCAAATGTTCGGTTTAACGACAACTTCTAACGGCTATCAGGAAGGAATACAAAGTCTATATAATTTAAGTGGCATACAGGCTTTTAAAAGCATTCATGGTGGTGATGTGACGGAGGTAAAGTGTAAATAAATTACAAGCAGTTAAAAGTTACGGCTACTAAAACATTAATTTTTATATTTCACCAAACTGCACGTTATTTAGCGGCAAATTGGTGGTATTATTTGCGTAGATTATTAGTTGTATTTTGCTATGTTCAGCATAAGCGGAAATTGCTTGTCTTGATTTTTCAAGGTCGACGCACGAGTTCGACTTCCTCAGACGCTTCGGAGGAAGGCAGCAGTAGACCGGTCCAGCGAAACATATAACTGGAGAGCGCGGCACTGTACAGCGTAATTGCAGGTGAAAACACGCTTTAATTGTAACTTTTTATAAAGCAAAAAGTAGCTATTACATAATAATACTTACATTTGTATCTAGATTTTATTTATTATCCGGGATGTTAATCTGCAGTACATAAGTTTATTGTATTATTGACAAGTTATACAAACTGAACATATGATTTTGTGCAGTTTTCATAGCTAATATTGTTCTACCTGCATTAAATAATGAAATATCTATACTTAGTTAGCTTAATCACGCAGATTTAAATTTTGAATACCCACTTATTTTTGCCTTCAGCTTTGTCTTGGAAGCGTATTAAAATTTGACTGAATGTGAACACTTCACCTTTTTCCATCAATTATTTTACCGCTGTCATCGAGAGAGTTTTTTTGTCGTATGGTCCTGACTCTACCTGGTCCTATCTAGATAGGCTTTCGCCTAACGTGCGATCTGTTTACTAGACCAGTAAACACAGGGGGCTCCCGATCTGCACCTCGACGTTTAAGTTGCTTTACTTTCCTGCACATAGGGAGTAAAGCAAGAACTGAGCGCCCTGTGCCCTCTCTCTTGCACATTGGCTTGACCATCAGGATTCTCACCTACATTCATTTGTCAGCGGTTCGATTGTCTTTTGTCCTACTCACTACCCGTGAGTTCGTTCCAGTAATTTTTCTTGGTATTGGTTTTACTTGTGGTTTTATTCTTGGTTTCGGTTTCTCCTCGTCATTGTGCTTTTTTATCCCTGCGTCCGTTTGTCAATTCTATCGTTTAAGTTATATATATCTACATATATACATATATTTGGCCATCTATTTTTATTGCCTATCTCTCCTTTCATATGTCATTATTGTTCCTTGATTGGTCATGTCAGCGGACACTATTATTGTGAAGAGCGTAGCTCTAGTAGAGTAGTAAAGAAAGGATTACTGTGTCATAACTGCTTATCTTGGTACCATATGTTCGTTCGTCGTTGGACGAAGAGTCTATTGCATTATGTTCCCTTCAGTTTAACTTCAAATGAATTTGACTTCATTGTGTGTGTTTAGCGGAAACCTGCTCGCATTTACTAGATGGGGGCACGCGGTGCAGTCTTGGAATATTGCTGCTTGGCAAAAGGCTTCTGACGTTGACAATACGGCAGACAGGCTGCTTAAGGCGCAGAGCTCTGGTACTGAAGCATTGCGAGCAACCATCAACGTGTTACTATTACATTTTGAGCATCATGCGCGTCTCACTAAACTCAATATGGGTATGCAGTGAAATATGCTCATTTACAACCGGGAAGAACTGGTAATACGAGAGGCTAAAACCAAACATGACTTGCATAGAAGGTCTGTTCAGGACATACGTCGTATTTTAAGCCTGTCACCGCTCGTTGGTATCAAATGGATCCACCGTGTTGGTAGTTGAGAGCTTGTACTTGTTCTGCACAAGGGGACCTTGAAAGGCCGATTTCATCAGTTTAAAAATCCGCTTTATCTTAACCTACTTCTCAACCGAGCGGGCCTATTGGCTTCCGTGAAGCTGGTGGTTTTCGCAGGTAGCTTGAGTACAAAAGAAGTCAAAATTTGGTGGCCAAACTGCAGAGGCAGTCCAAATACTCTATGAGTATAGGATGGCGCAAAACGCAACAAGGAAGTTAAAGCTTTCTTATTACTACGTCCAGTCTGAAGTCCCCTTAAGAAAAGTAGTTGGCAACGTACTCACAAAAGATAGGCAACAGGCTACAAGAGACCTTAATAAGGTGCAGCAGTTGCTGCGTGTTTTCCAGAGAGGTCACCGTGCGGACAAAGTTTTTTCAATACCGTTGTTCTCACATTTCTTAAGTGTGTGCAAAATAACTGCTTCAGATGCGTTATCTGTACTGAAAGACTTAAACCCATATAAATCACCTGGCCCCGATAATATGCCTCCCGCTATGGTTAAGCCGATTGCAGACATACTCTAGCTTCCTACTCTTGAGTTGTACAACATGTCTCTTCGTGCGAGGAGGATACCACAGGTTTAGAAGGAGGTGGTTGTAATGGCAATTCATAAGGGTGTTACTAAACCTTCACCCAATAACCGCCAGCCTGTTATTCTGACTAGTGTTCTTCTCAAGTGTCTGGCGAAGATTGTTAGGAATCGTGTTTACAAACACTTTGCGGATAATAATTTAATCGAAGCAGAACAACATGGCCTTGTTAAGAAAAGATTATGCTCTACCAACCTGTTGGGTTTCCTTGATGAAATAACTCGATGTCTCGATGATGGCTTACCAGTAGAAGTATGTTACATTGACTTCAGTACAGCATATGATTTGGTGAATTTCCGTTTCTTGTTAGAGAAAATGTCCTGGATTGGAATCTTTTCTCAACTGCTTTCTTGTCTGCCTGCATTTCTTTATGGTAAGACATTTCGTGTCAGGGTTGGTGACGTTATTTCGGCGGCAGGTACTGCTCACAGTGCAGTTCCCCGGGGATCAGTACACGGTCTGTTTCTATTTTTCATGTTAATAACTGACTTGGTCCATCTACTTGAAGACCCCTCCTGTGTATTTGTTAACGACTTGTAGCTTGTCAGCAAGGGAGTCAGGACTTTGTTATCTAGATTTTGCTACCGTCATCAGTTGGTCGCGTTTGTGGGACGTACTACTGAACGCCAGCGAATGTCAGGTCCTTACCCCGCGTGATGAAGAGTTTATTTTGCATGCACCTAATGGGCCCCTAGCACTGCAACATGCCACCGAAGCAAGTGATCTAGGTTTTCTCGTGAGGAATGACTTTTAGCTCTCGGTACGGTGCAGGTATGCGGCTAATAAAGCGTAACAACAGTGATTTCGTTTCAGGAGAGTTCTGAGTTGTACCAAGCCAGAGGTCTTTCTTCTCTTGTTCAAAGCTATAATCAGACCACATCTGAAATGCTGTGTTCAAGCATGGGCACCCTACCTGCAAAAGCTGTTATTTGTATTAAAAATGTGCAAAGACTGGCCACACGAATAATAGAAGGCCAGCGCGGGTTATCATATGAAGCTCGGCTAGCTAACTTGGGTTTGTTCTTAATAATAAGACGCAGGTTCTTTGGTGATTTAATAGAGAGGTTCAAGACCATGGAAGGTCTCAGGCCTACCTATCTGGTTGAACCACCTACGTCAGACAACATGCGGGGCAATTGCGTGGAATTGACGCAGCATAAATCTGGGTTGGAGTTAAGAGCCAGGTGCTTTGCAAACCGGGTTGTGCCTGTCTAGAATAAAGTTCTTGCTGCTCCGTTAGCATGCGAATCGATGAAATAATTTAAGCGTAGCCTAGCTAAATATTGACTGGTCCTGTTTTTCGAATTTTCTTAAGCTTTAGTGAATGCCCCTAATCTCATTACTTTCTGATACTTTGTTGTTCGCCTTGCAGTTGCTTCTGTATTTTCACCATTATAGGATCAGGAATGTTTAATCAAGTCGCAGTGCTGTGGATCGTTTTCGCTTACTGGCACACAAAAGAGGACGCTCGTTAAGCGGAAGCTTCTTTCCTCGCTGGATCTTGTTCTGTCCTGTTCTGTCCTTATCGGACCAGCTACTATAGAATTAAACCTAACAGTTGCTCTTTACATAACGTGCTCCCATTTTGTGGCGACGATAGCTCGAAAAAGCAACGACACGAACCATACATAAACAATTTTTAAGTTAAGCAATACAATGATAGCGTCAATATATTGACACCATTTGCGACTAGCATCTGAGTAGCACCCCACATATCCACTTGCCCCCATTTTATGACCATAGCTGCTTGAATAAGCAACGATATGAACCATTCATTGGCTATTTATAAATTAGTCTGTAAATTGAAACCGTTGAGCCTGACCCAGTAATTACAATTAAAGTCGTCCACATGTATGTTGTCATGTTTTAGTTTTCTACCCAAAGCTTAGTTTGGAAACGGTTGTTTTAAGAACACTGCACACTGAAGGTTGTCAGGCCCCACATAGAGCGCAATCTCGAGGTTCCGATCGCGCTTACGGGTTTATCGTTCTGTATCGCAGTTTCTGTGTTTCTATTCCTCTATTAGCACCAGTGTTCGACCTGCGCACACTAAACGTCCGATGGGCGCCCGAGTGACACAAATTGTTACCCATCGGGAGCTTGCGGAGAAATGTTTTAACGGGTTCCGCTTCGTAAGCTCAACTTACTTCAGAGTTTGCTCCCTATAAGAATAGCCCAGCCGCATTGAATTTTCTCCCATTACCGCTACAATGCCAAACACCTAGCGATTTACACCTTACGCAGCGACATTTTGTCTAGCGCGATGCGGCTGGAGCTTAACGTGGTGCGATGGTTTGTCTGCCTCAGTGATCCACTGAGCTATGTTGGATGGTGCTTTTTTTGTACCTTCAGAGCCACTCATACCAGGCTGGCCAATGGTTAGAGGCCAGACAAACTCACTCTCCTGGCCCTCCAGATTGGGGGTTATAGTGAGAGTGGCTCCTTACTCTATACAACGGACTCTCTGTAGTATAGTACCAAAACCCGCTGCCTTGCAGCAAGGATTTTGAACCAAAGGCTTTGGTTGAGAACCCTAATCGTTCTCTCCTGTCTAGGCCTGAGCAACCTGACAGTATCCTGCCCACGCAATACACCATGACCTTTCCTTATAACATTCTCTTGATGTGCTGGCTTTATGGATAGTAAAGTAATAATATTCATTCTTTTAACCAAACTGCGCGTTATTCAGCGGCAAATGGGTAGTATTCATTGCATAGCTTTTAGTTTTATTTTGCTTCCTTCAGCAGAAGCGGAATATGCTTGTCTAGGTTTTTCAAGGTCGACGCACGACTTCAACATTCTCAAACGCTACGAAGGGAGGCAGGAGTAGATCGGACCCGCGAAACCCGTAACTGGAGAGCGCAACACAGTACAGCGTAATTGCAGGTGAGAACATGGTTTAATTAAAACTTTTTATAAAGCAGTAATAATCTATTACACAATAAAACGCATATTTACACAGGTTTTACTAAGGACCTGGGATTTTTATATGCAGTACATAAGTTTATTGTATTATTGACATGTTATGCAAACCGAATATATGAGTTTGTGCAGTGTTCATAGATAATAGTATTCTACCAGCATTAAACAATTTAATAGCTATATTTAGTTAGCTCAGTAATGCGGCTTTGCATTTTGAATACCCACTTATTTTTGCCTTCAACTTTGTCTTGGGAGCGTACTAATAATTGACTGTATGTGAAAACTTCCCTGTTCCACTAATTATTTTACCGCTGTCATCAAGACAGATTATTTGTCGTACGGTTCTGACTCTACCTGGTCCTATCTAGATAGGCTTTCGCCTAACGAGCGATCTGTTTATTGGACCAGTAAGCACAGTGGGGCTCCCCACCTGCACTTCGACGTTTGAGTTGCTTTACTTCCCTGCACATAGGTAGTAAAGCAAGAACTGAGCGTCCTGTGCCCTGCTCTTGTGCATATTTGATTAACCATCAGGATTCTCACCTACATTCATTTGTCTGCGGATCGATGATCTTTTGTCCTACTCACTACCCCGTGAGTTCGTTCCAGTAATTTTTCTTGGTGTTGGCTGTAATTTTGGTTTTATCCTTGGTTTCGGTTTCTCATCGTCATTGTTCCTTTTTATCCCCGCGTCCGTTTATCAATTCTTTCGTTTAAATTATATATATCTACATATATACATATATTTGGCCATCGCTTTTTTATTGCCTTTCTCTCTTTTCATATATCATTGTTGTTCCTTGTTTGGTCATTTCAGCGGACACTATTATTGCGTAGAGTAGTAAAAATAGATTACTATGCGATAGCTGCTTAGTTTGGTACCATTATGTTTGTTCGCCGTTGGACGAAGAGTCTATTGCATTACATTCCCTTCTTTCTAAATTCAAATGGATTTGCTTCCATTGTGTATGTTTAGCGGAAACCTGCTCACGTTTACTAGATGGGGGTACCTGGTAAAGTCTTGGAACATTGCTGTTGGGCAAACGGTTTCTGACGTTGACAATACGACAGAGAGGCTGCTTAAGGAGCAGAGCTCTAGTATTGAAGCATTGCCAGTAAAAATTGACTTGTTATATTTACATTTCGAGCATTATGCGCGTTCCACTGAACTCAGTATGGGTATGTAGCGAAATGTGCTCATTTACAACCGGGAAACCCTGGTAATACGAGAGGCTAAGCTCAAACATGACTTGCATAGAAGGTCTGTTCAGGACATACTTCGTCTTATTGGTCTATTACCACTCGTTGCTATCAAGCGGATCCATCGTGTTGGTAGTTGAGAGACTGTAATTGTTCTGCACAAGGGGGACCTTGAAAAGCCGATTCTATCAGAGTTTAAATATCCGCTTTATCATAACCTACTTCTCAAGTGAGCGGGTCTATTGGCTAACCGAACAAGTAGCCGATATCAGGTAGCCCCCGATACGTTCCCTTCCAGTACCAAAACCAGCTCATTAGTAACTTTAAATAATACTCATTTTGGTGATATTTTGTCAGCTAACAGAGGCCTCGGTCAAAAAATCTAGCTGCATCTTCTGTAACGCATATTATGATAAACGGAGCTCGTGGTCAACTTCCCCAGACGGATGTTATTACCGGCTTCCATCTCGCCTCTCCACCGAGCTTAACTGGATCACAACTTTATTCGGGAGGATGCTACAGTGTTACCACTCGTGCATGACTCCAATGTTGCGTCATTGATGAATTTGGTCCCTAAAGGAATTCACGTTGCACGTGCGCGATCGACCACGACTTGTGCAGCAATTTTAGTGGCAATCGAAATGCGATTTCTAGAAGACGTTTTTAGTTTAGCAGCCGACCTTAAATGAACTCTTTCTGATAACTCTCCTAGGTGCGCAAACTCACCTCAGTCAGCTGCAACTGCAAGACTTATTTACAATAAGGCCAGGTTTGCTCACCGTAGAGTGTAAAAACGAAATGACCAGGGCCGCAGAAGCAACTAGAGCTGGTGACTTTATTGCTACTTTGTCTCCGAGGACACAAGTACAATTCCCAGCCATACCCACCGAAATTGTGGCAAAAAGCGGGGTACCTCGAGTTCTGCATCCGAGGATAACATTACAAGGGCGGCTGACAGCGAATAGCAACTACTATAAACGCTGCTGAAGGTTTGGTACGCAAATGCTTGTAACGTGCGGAACAATTTGGGGGAGATGGCGATGACTTATAGATCTGCCGACGTTGTTGCGGTCACAGGTACCTGACACTCACCAATTGACTCAGTAAATGATTGCCTGTTAGTCGACTTTGTCGGGTATAGTACGGACCGTCCTGGGTATCCAAATGGCGGTGGAGTGCTATTGCTTATAAAGTGTCACTACAGCCACTTAGAAGCTCCGTTTACAATGTGCACGCAAAATGTTCAAATTACTTCTTGTTATCTGAAAGTGCAGTGTAAAGCTAAATTAGTTGTTTGTGGTTATCACAGCACGTCCTCAACGCGAGGAGAGGACAAAGAGCTTAATGATCCACTAAAACGAGGTGCGCCTTCTGCGCCAAGTTTTTTGATTGTAGGCGACCTGGGTGCAAGTTCACAATAGGGCGGATTCCTTATAGGATAACTTAATACAGCGGGCACCGAAAAACGCCCTTGTGTAATGTCAACATTTTAACAAGAATTCGTGGCGAGAGCATCGCTCTTCCTTAGATTCTGTGATCACGAAGTATGGTTGCTTTTCAGCCGTAATTGTTGTGCCTGCTGTAGGTAAGAGTAAACCTTTCGTTCTGTCCTAATTTATTTATGTACCGAGGCTCTCAGTTGAACCCCGGCTGACGCGGAAAGTAAGCCGGATTAATACAACGCTTCTGATGGATGGAGCCGCACATATTACCTGGTTTCTTGAACAAATGGTAGCAACGCTGGATCAGATGTGACGCGTGATCAAAAGTGGCCTCACACAATTGCTAGCGGAGTTCGCTCCCCTGTGTAGGCACTATTCAGATAAGCATCACTGGTGGCGCCGAGGTATTGATCTGGTGTTGAAACGGGGGAATATACATTCGAAAGCTTCCATGAAGTTGGTGGTTTTTGCAGGTGGCTTGAGTACAAAGGAAGTTAAAATTTGGCGGTCAAACTGCAGAGGCAGTCCAAATACTCTATGAGCATAGGATGGCGCAAAAGGCAAAAATAAACTTAAAGCGTTCTTACTACTACGTCCAGTCTTAAGTCTCCTTAAGAAAAGTAGTTGGGAACTTACTCACAAAGGATAGGCAACAGGCTACAAGAGACCTTAATAAGGTGCAGCAGTTGTTGCGTGTTTTCCACAGAGTTCACCTAGCGGACAAAGCTTTTTCAATACCGTTGTTCTCACGTTTCGTAAGCGAATGCAAACTAACTGCTTCAAATGTGTTATCTGTACTGAAGGAATTAAACTCATATAAATCACCTGGCCCCGATAATGTGCCTTCCGCTATTGTTAATCCGATTGCAGGCATACTCTAGCTTCCTACTCTTGAGTTGTACAACATGTCTCTTCGTGCGAGGAGGATACCACAGGTTTGGAAGGAAATGCTTGTAGTGGCGATTCATTAAGGTGTTACTAAACGTTCATCCAAGAACCGCCAGCCTGTTAGTCTGACTAGCGTTGTTGTCAAGTGTCTGGCGAAGCTCGTTAGGAATCTTGTTTATAAACACTTTGCTGCTAATAATTTGATCGAAGCAGAACAACATGACCTTGTCAAGAACAAATCATGTGCTATAAACCTGCTGTGTTTCCTTGATGAAGTAACTCGATGATGGCATACTGGTAGAAGTATGTTACCTTGACTTCAGTAAAGCTTTTGCTTCGGTGAATTTCCGTTTCTTGTTAGAGAAAGTGTCCTGGTTTGGAACCTTTCCTCAACTGCTTTCTTGGCTGTCTGCATTTCTGTGTGGTAAAACATTTCTTGTCAGGGTTAGTGACGTTATTTCGGCGGCAGGCAGTGCTCATAGTGCAGTTCTCCGGGGATCAGTACACGGTCCGTTTCTATTTTTCATGTTAATAACTGACTTGGTCCATCTACTTGAGAACCCTCCTGTGTATTTGCTTACGACTTGAAGCCTATCAGCATGGGAGTCAGGACTTCGTTATCTAGATTTTGCTACCGTCATTAATTGGTCGCATTTGTGGGACTTACCACTGTACACCAGCAAATGTCAGATCCTTATCCCGCGTGATGAAGAGTTTACTGTGCATGCATCTAATGGGTCCTTAGCACTGCAACATGCCAGCGAGTAACGTGATCTAGGTTTTCTCTTGAGGAGTGACTTTAAGCTCTCGGCACGATGCAGGTATGCAGCTAATAAAGCGTAACAGTAGTTATCTCGTCTCAGGAGAGTTCTGAGTTGTACCAAGCCAGAGGTCTTTCCTCTCTTGTTCAAAGCTGTAGTCAGACCACATCTGAAAAAAATGTGTTCAGGCATGGGCACCCTACCTGCAAAAGCTATTATTTGTATTGAAGATGTGCAAAGGCTGGCCAGACGAATAGTAGAAGGCCAGCGTGGGTTATCATATGATGCTCGGCTAGCTAACTTGGGTTTGTTCTTAATAAGAAGACGCAGATTCTTTAGTGACTTAATAGAGAGGTTCAAGATCATGGAAGGTCTCATGCCCACCTATCTGCTTGAACCATCTACGTTAGACAACTTGCGGGGCCATTGCATGGAGTTGAAGCAGCATAGGTCTGGGTTGGAGTTAAGGGCCAGGCCCTTTGCAAACCGGGTTATGCCTGTCTAGAATAAAGTTATTTCTGCTCCGCTAGCATGCGAATCGATGAAAGAATTTAATCGTAGCCTAGATAAACATTCACTGGCCCTGTTTCTCGAATTTTCTTAAGCTTTAGTGTATGTCCCTAATCTCATTACTACCTGATACTTTGTTGTTCGTCTTGCAATTGCTTCTGTA